ACTAGAATAGTAATTGTTGCTAATGGTGATGATGGCCATAAATATGAAGTCATATCTAGAAAAAAAAAATAGTAGCCAATGTAACTTTTATTTGTAATAAATTCATTTTTTGTTTTTTTTTCAATTTAAACAAAAAGAAAACAGTACAAATTCTGTTCAATGATATACAGTTATATTTGGATGTCGAGATCGGATAAATGTTAATGTAACACAATCAATATCTATATTTCCAGTTAAATCAAGTAGAAGTAAATTATTCTAAATAGATAAAAAATAGATCAAATATTTGACTTGTTTTTATTTACCATAGTTTTCTGTTCAAATAATTTACGTATTCCATTTGAAGTAAATTTATTTTGTGAAAGATTTAATGATTTAAGTTGATCGAGAGATAATTTTGCTAATTGATCAAATATTCCATCAGTTAGATTATTCTCTTAATAAAAGAAAAATGAATAATTTAGAAAATAAAACATTAGGATGATAAATATAAATTACCTGATAAATTTATTGAATAAATAAACATGAAATTTTCAAAGACTTGTAATATACATATTGTTTGTTCTAATCTTAAACTTAATCGTTGAAGAGATAATTCAAATTTATCAAAAAATAATTTCAATGCCGATCGAATATTTGAATAAGCAGCTACAAAAAAAAACAAAATGTGTTCTTTACTTATAAAGAAAAACAAAGAAATCAGTTCATTCAACATTTACCAATTTTATTTGCTTTACAAAGTTGTTCATATACAATAATTGGATCCTTTTCAATATAAGTTGCTTTTATCTAATGATTAAAAAAATATAAGAATTTATTCAGAAATAAGATCATCATAGTACATCAGTTTCATCAGCGGGTATTGCTAATTGGATCGTATCACTTTCGGACATGCCCAATTCCCAATCTTGACGGTCATATAATGTAACTGAACAAGCATAAATATTAAAATTATCATAGAGACGTTTAAGAACTTGATAACGAAGACTAGATAATGTATCTGTTGGTGACCTAAAAATGAATATTGATTTTTTTTCTGTAATATAATTTTAATTAAAATTTACATGGGTATTCGAAGTTTTTTATCTTCATTTGTTCGTTGATTTGTATTTGCTAAACAACGAATAATTCTTGTAGTTGTGTCATGTGATATTGAAGGTGGTGGTAGACTAGTTGTAGTTGTGGTTGTTGTTGTTATTGTATTGATTGATGATGTTGATGATGGACGTCGTGATCGAGTTATTGATTTTGGTGTCATGACTTGTAGAACGGGTGAAAGTGATGGAGTATGATTAGATGGTGCGGGTGATTCTTTTTTTTAATGGTGAAAATAAATCCAAATCATCAAAATTTATAATATCGATATCGTTTGATGCTGGTAAAAGTGGAGGAGGAGGGGGAGGAGGAGGAAGATGAGAGATAGTCTGAGGTGTTTTTAATGGTGATTTAGCATCAGTTATTGT